GGCGTAGATAATCGCGGCGAGTTCTAAGTCATGAGTGAGATAGTTTTTCTCATGACTCTTCAACTGAGTGGACCCATAGGCTATGACCTTCCCATGCTGCATCAAAACACAACCCAACCTCAGGTAGGAGGAATCATTATAAACTGTATATCTACCTATTCCACTCGGCAAGGCCAACATAGGTGCAGTAGTCAACCGCTTCTTTAGTTATGAAAAACTCCTTTCACAATTCTCGTTCAACTCAAACTTGACGTTATTCTTTGTGAGCTGAGTTAAAGGAGCAGCTAGGCTAGAAAATCCTTCTACAAACTTGCGGTAATAACCTGCTATCCTAGAAAGTTACGAATCTCCTTGATCGATGTCAATTTCTCCCAACCAAGCATTACCTCAACTTTTTTGGGATTCACTGATACTACATCCCTTTATATGATGTGCCCTAGGAAGGTAGTCTGTTCGAGCCAGAATTCATAATTACTTAACTTTATATACAACTTCTTTTCTCTAAGAACCTACAAAACCTGAGTCAGATGGTGAACGTGTTCCTCTCTACTTTTTTAATAGATTAGGATATCATCGATAAATACAATGACCAACTGATCCAGAAATTGTCTGAAAATTCTATTCATCAAATTCATAAAGATGACTAGTGCATTGGTTAGTCCACATAACATGACCAGAAACTCATAGTATCTGTACCTGGTTTGGAAAGTTGTTTTAGGAATGTTTTCTACTTTGATCTTTACTTGATGGTAACCTGAATGCAGGTCTATCTTGGAGAAGAGTGGGGCATCCTACAACTGATTAAAAAGGTCATCGATTTTGGAGAGAGGGTACTTATTATTGATCGTGATCCTATTTAGTCCCCTGTAGTCAATACATAACCTTAACGTCCCATCCCCCTTCTTTATAAATGTGACTCCAGTACCTCAAAGGGACACACTATGTCGGATGAACCCACTATCCTGCAATTCATTGATATATTTTTTCAACTCTTTCATCTCAATACAACTCATGCGGTAAGGGACAACCGAGATAGACTAGGTATCTGACTAAAGATCTATGGTGAATTCAACTTCTCTATTCACTGGTAGTCCATGTAGTTCATCAGAAAATACATCCGGGAAGACTCGGACTACCGAAATCTCTTGAATGTAAATTTTTTTCTTAGGTTTGCCTAATTAGAGAAAATAACCGAGTTAAACTACTTGGTAAGAGAAAAATTTCCATGAGAGAATAATATTCAAGACTTCTATTAGCTTGTAAATAACTCTTCATTAGGAGGGTTGAATATAAGTTTCTTGTAAAAACAATCTATGATGGCGTAATTCGACGCTAGCTAGTTTATTTCTAAGATTACATCAAAATCCCCTGTGTTAATCTCTATTATGTCCACATTCAATTTTCTATATGATATATCTATAATACAGGCTCTGTATATAACTTGCTCTAGTAGTGTCCTACTCCTAAGAGTATACACAAATAACATAAAATCAAGTCTTTCAGGTAATACATTTAAGTTTGGTGTAAAAGCATGTGAGGCATCAATATCAATTAAAACATATGCAAGATGATTACAGATAGTGTACGTACCATAAATCACGTCTGGGTTGGCTTCTGCATCCTACTGAGTGAGGTTGTAAGCTCTGCCCTGAATAGGAGGTCTGACTTGCTTCTGATTCCTCGGACATTCTCTCGCATAATGTTGGGTACTCCCACATATATGGCAAGTATTGTTGAGGTGATAGTAGGGTCGGTCCCCATGATCCTTGCCACAGTACTGGTAAGTTCTACCGCGTTCTGTTACCGAAATTTGAGGAAGAGTTTGAGTCACTGGCCTAAGTCTCTTGTTCTACTCAGCAGGTACAATGGGTGCTGGTTTGCGATGTGAAACCAGGGGCCTGGGGTTCCCCACTGCTGGAGGAAAAATGCGAAGGTTCCTTTTTACTAATTGTGTCTTAGCCAGTATGGCTGAGTAGGTACTGAGATTGAACACATACAACTGCTGTCTAATATCAGGACGAAGGCCCCACTTAAACTTTCTTACCTTTCTGCCTTCATTCATCATGCTCTTAGGGGAACACCGGTTCAACTCTAGGAACTTTCAGGCATACTCTGATACAGTCATATCACCTTGGACCAAGTGTGCAAACTCCATTTCTTTAGATATCGGAGATACTCTGAGAGGTACTCTATATTGAAGACCATCAGGAACTGTTACAAAGTGACTGGGACAGGCAGGGTGGCCTGCTTGAGTTGCCACCAACAACCTGCCTCTCCTATCAGCATATAAGTGGCAAGTATAACTCTTTGTTCAGGAACCACCCCAAGAGTCATGAAAGCCTTCTCCGTATCAACTAATCAGTACTCAGCCTCTTCAAAGGAGGATACCCCTGCAAAAGTAGATGAGTTTAGTCTTTTGTACATCTCAATGTAGTCTGGGTCCATCATAGGTAGAAATAGGTCCCGTGGAAGAAGGACTGGATTGTGTTGGAGAGGGACTGGATGGCCCTGTGGTGGTACTGAATGATATAATGGAGGCACCAGATTGTACTGTGGTGGTATCAGGTGATGCGGTTGGGGTACCAAACTATACTGTGGTGGTGCCGGGTGATACGGTTGGGGTATCGGACCATAATGTGGTGGTGTCGGATGGTACTGTGGAGGAGTAGGGTCGTATCGGGGTAGCTCAGGATCCTCCCGTTGTAGGGGTGGCTCAAACTGTGACAGCAGAGGAGGATCAGGTAGCTCCCTCCTTTCCTCCCAGGCCTGCTGGACAGTGATGAGTCTCTCAAGCATTTCAAATAGTCGGTCAACATCCTCTCGAAATGAACCCTCTCAGGCTACTCGGTGTAGTAGGACTCGAAACTTAAAAGGAAATAAAGTCATAAATTAAGTGCGAAAACAAAATAATAGAGTTTAGGGTTTATATTCCTTACACAATAATTTAGAATGCCTAAAAGGGTTATGAGAATCTTCCTTCTAAAAGAACAAACAAAAATCAATGAAATGAACAAAAAGCAAATAACTGAGTATTTTAGGATGACCTTCACTGCAAGTCCGGGTGGTGAACTATTCACAATCCTCTTGTTAATCGGGATCTGGGTCTTGGTCCTATTGATATGAAATAGTTAATGAAAGGGTGAACTACACTAGTCCAGTAAGAATATCACACTATTCACTGATATAGAAACTAAAGGTTGGTAAAAATCATAAAAACAACCAATGAGCTCTTGATTTAAGTAAATTCGTTTATCATAAGGAAAACCATTTATTGAATATATTTATTGTTGCGAGATTTCTAAAATCGACTTATAAAGATACAATAATTCAAATAATATTCCAATATCATTTTCAAGTGAGTAGTAGTAACCACTTTCCCTTTTTATTTACCTACTGGTATCCCTGGGGGCCCATAAGGATGTCTCACTACGCGTGAACCAATATCCAACATTGTCAACTAACCGACCGCCCCCATACCCCGTCTGATATGAGTGCCAAAATTTTCACTCCTCGATACCCCGTCCGGTATGAAGCAACGTTCACGGTAGGGTTCCCTATATACCCAATCCGTACACCATCTAATAAGAATGTGTCTTAAGTAATCAATATCATAACAAACATATGACTCCAAGTAATCTGTTGAACTAGCAAACATTCAAGTCTTAAGTAATAAATCTTCAACCAATTTTGCTAGTCTCAGATAATTAAGGAACCGATAATGAAAGTAAATATAAGAGTGAGAAAGAGAGAGGACAAACTCAATTTTATAAAGGTTCGGCTATCACTTATGCCTAACTTTTCTTTTTTAAGTCAACTACTTGAGAGATTCCAAGATGCTTATTTATCAAGGT